CAGTGTGGAATGCTTTGCACAAGTCCAGGTAGATGACATCAACTGCTCTACCCCTGTCCATCAGTTCCGTAGCCCTATCATAGAAGGCCACCAAATTGGTCAGGCAGGATTTCCCCTTAGTGAAGCCATGCTGGCTGTCACCAAGCACCTTGTTGTTTTTCATGTGCCTTAGCATGCCTTCCAGGAGAATCTGCTCCAAGATTTTGCCAGGCACAGAGGTGAGACTGACTGGTCTGTAGTTCCCCGGGTCATCCATTTTCCCCTTCTTGAAAATGGGGGTTATATTTCCCTTTTTCCAGTCTTCGGGAACTTCACCTGACTGCCATGATTTCTCAAATATGATGGCCAGTGGCTTAGCAACTTCATTTGCCAGCTCCTTCAGGACCCTCGGATGGATCTCATCAGGACCCATGGACTTGTGCACGTTCAGATTTTTAAGATGGCCTCGAATCAGTTCCTCTCCTACAGTGGGTGCAAGGTCTTCATTCTCACAGTCCCTGCATCTGCCTTCGAAGACTTGGGTGGTTTGGTCAGAGCCTTTGCCAGTGAAGACCGAGGCAAAGAAGTCATTCAGAACCTCAGCCTTCTCCAAATCCTGTGTAGCCAGTTCTCCTGAGAGCTTCCTGAGGGGGCCTACATTCTCCCTAGTCTGTTTTTTATTTGCTATGTACCTATAGAATCCCTTCCTGTTATCTTTCACATCCCTAGCTAACTTTAATTCTAACTGGGCCTTATGTATATGTGTGTGTGTGCATGTGGTGTGCGTGTGTGTGTATATATATATATATATATATATATATATATGTAAAGATTTTTATCTCTTCGAGTTTACATGTGTGTCCGTGTTTTTCTTAATCCTCCCAGCCATGAGGCTTACTTACCATATGGACAGACTCCCTGATTCATGTATTGGGGTTTCCACCTCCCCTTTTTTATCCCTCCCTTCAGCTTGCTGTTTTTGTGGTTTGGGTACTTACACGACTTAGAGCCATACAGATCAGAAGCATTAATAAAATGGTCTTTTGAGAGTCTATGGTTCTGAAATGTTGCTTCTCCCCATTCATGCCATAGGGAACTTCCTTCACTTGCCTTGCCACACCAATAAATTTTTCTCATTTCTTCTCCTAACTGCTATTAGTGAATGAATGCAGAAATTTATTTAATTATGAGGGGAGTAATCATGTTATTTGGCTGGTTTGAGTTCTAGCCTTGAAACCTAGAATAAATCAATGCAGATTACCACAAATATGGTTTTGTGGTTTTTTGATGTTTTTTAGTGTTCTCTTTGTTATTCTATCATCTCTTTAGATATAACATTTATAAGTTTTACTGTGTTTTGTTTTTTGTTTTAGACTTATGCTCCTGCTCATCTGGCCTGGTTGTAACCCTTTGGCTGTTGATGGCTAATTTAATTCCCCTGCTAACAGGATTATTTCTCTGCGCATAGAGTTAAGCATGGGGCAAGAAGCTCTTCCAAGATGATACATCATCATGTTGCACTCCTTATTATGGAGCATGGAGGTTTTTTGTCTCTGTAGGCAGCTGTCTTCTGCTGAATCTCATCTCTCCTGGCAAGTATCGGTGCAGACAGTAGCCATGGAGGTGCTGACAAAAGCAGATAGAGTCTGAGAGGAGAAAAATTTACCTTGTCATCTCAATAAGTGCCAGTATTTTCCTGGATTGCAGCCTTTGACTTACCTTTTTTTGAGGCAGTAACAAGATGCACTATGCCAACCGCATTACACTAGCTGGCAATTCGGTCAAGATTTGAAACAAGAACTCTTCCGTAATAGAACTGAGGGTTTGGGGTTTTTTTGTTATGACCTCTGTGTGACGGGCAGCAAAGCATCCTCAACTAGAAATATACCTCAACGGTTTAGTCAAAAGCCATGTAAAAATCAATTGTCACCACTGCTAATAACCCAGGCCTGAACAGGTGTGGGGATTTATTTTGTGGTTTTGCCAATTCCTACAAATTATGGCGGGAAGAAATAATTGAATAGAGTAGACCTAGTGGTTGGCAACTGCCCCACAGCTGGATTCTGCAGCCTTGAGGCTTCTCAGAATTCATACTAGTTTGCAGTGAAGCGGCTAATTCTTGGGGTTCACTTAAACCTTCCTAGGTGCACAAAGCAGGATTTCAGACTGGTAACCAAGACAAATCTGGAAATCCCATTCTCATTTAGTATGTGCCAGTTCTACTGTGAAATCGAATACATCAGATGTTTGAATATTCTCTTGCTAGGCAAAGGCATTTCAGTGCTGACACCCAATCTGTAAAATTGGGGTAGGATTTCTGATTGTTTTTCATTTTGTTGGTTTGTTTCTTAAATAATAGCATTTTTTTCTTTTAAGTAGTATGAACATCAGCACAGCTGTTCTTACTTTTTGTTGAAGGGCAAACGAGTAGCAATGGCAGCTATAATCTTACAGGACCATGTGAGTTCTCTAAAACAAAAATGGTATTGCATATGTAAAGAAATATGTCTTTAGCTTTTTTTCTTCCCTCCACTTTTTTTCTTGGACATATAAATACTATGGATTGAGTGTTTGTAAGAAGTTGAGAATTGGATGTTTTGAAGCACATGGGTGCACAGCTTGGTACAAAATTAATCACTCGATGGACAAAATATGTAAGAGGAAGGAAAGGAGCAAAGTCTGTCTACCTAAGGACACTTGTAAGGATGTTTGTATTTGTTTCTGACTCTATAATGTAGAGCAAATAATCCTGTTTGGGTTTTTTATTTAAAGAAACCCTTACAACACCACTGAGGTGAGTAAGCTGCAACCTAAAACTGTCTGAAGGCATCACAGTCAAGAGAGTACCTTGCACTGGGCTAGCTCCCCTTCTTAACTGCAGGTTAAGTTTGCTTTGAATTATACAAGGCCTAGGCTAGCCTTAAGTAGGTGTTTTCGAGAAGCAATACAAATTAGAAATCACATGCTTTAAATATGTACAAATTCCAATTAAGAAACACTCAGATTAATAAGTGAACACTGATTATTTTAATATATGCACAATCAGCAGTCAGTGTCAATTGATTCCTAGAAAACGGAAAGGTTTGAGAATACATCTTAGGTCCCAGAGGTTGATGTTGTATTTTTTTGTCTGTTGTGCAATAATACACTTTAAATGGTATCACTCAACAAAACAATGCTTTTGATACTTGAAAAGAAATTATTGGTTATTTTTTCTTACTGTGAAATATTTGCACTGTCTGAACTTTCTGGTTAACTTTATAACTGTTAAACTTTTTTACTGGTGTTAATTTATTGTGCTTGGTATTTGATATGCTGGTCTCCTGTCTGTGTAAGTGTGAAATTTGTCATATTTAATTGAATATTTTATCTTCAACACAGTTGTTTATCTTGAGGGTTTTTCTTTTATTCTCTCTTCATGAGAATTACTGGGAGATGGTTCAAAAACTCAGTGCTCACCTACTTCTGAATTGTATGCATGCTCTAAAGAAAGAGGCCATAGTGTGTTGCACTCACAGGGGAAAACCTGCCTGCCTGTCAGAGCTCTTATAGGCAGGTTCACCTGTCTTAGCTGAGTAGCTGCATCAGTGAAGTAAAACTATTACTGCCTTAATAATCTGAAATATCTGTCATAACTTCTTTGATGTGCAGCCATTCAACTGGCTGTGAACTGCAGAACTGGATGTGGCTTTGGGGGGTCAGGCAAGGAAGGTGCTTTAGCCAGCAAAATCCAACACGTTCTGTCCTGTCAGTGCAATAGCAGCTGTAGCTATATGTTGGAATATATGCCAAGAGATGTGTTGAGTTCAAGTGAGAATGAATTGGTGACTGTCAAAAAGCATATTTGAGTAAAACTGACTACCTCAGTTCTGTTTGACTTAAGCTTGTAGACTGCTGTGAACTTCCAAATCTTAAAATGAAGTAAAAACACATCTCAGGTTTTTAAGAGCAAAGTAAATACAGTAGGAAGCATAAGCCATTTCTGACTGTAGAACACAGCTACAACTGCAGCTTAAACTAATCAGTTATGTAGCCTTAAGCATAGTTTGCCCTGTAAAAGCCAATATTGGCTTTGAATAAATACAAAGCTTGCAGGCAACTACTTTAGGTGTCCTGACCCCTATTATGACAAGCCCATCCTAATGCATCTCTGATGTGTGAAAACTCTGAAATACAGCCCAAACACTCCTCTGTGTGTTCACCAGTGCAGGTGGGGGAGCAGGAGCCCTGGAGATGGTGCTCAGAGATGAGGGAGTTACCTTGTCTGTAGCAGAAACATGTTCAGTGTGTAATGCCCACAAGTTTAGTTTTTTAAAACACTCTGTGTTTGCTCATGGAAGTAAATTAGTCTTGCAGTCTTTTTTCTTTAACCCCGTAGTTCCAATCTGTAGTGGCTCAATTAGAAGTTGAGGCAAGTCATATTTTAGGAAGACATTTTTCTAATGTTTCAAATAATTATGATGAGGAACATACAGCAAGTAAAATCACACTGAAAAGCTGGAAACCCATTGCTCTTGAAACAAGTTGAGATCTTGGGAGACTGTCATGACTTTGTATGTAGGTTAATTACAGAGAACTTCCTAGGTGTGACTTTCAGCTGGCTGAGCAGGTCATGGTCTTTCCCCTGCAAGATGCAACAGTCTTCAGAATTTGGGTCTATTTGTAAGCTGAATAATGTGATCTTATACTACCAGACTTCCAAAACACAAATGTTGCCTTTCTAATGTGAAGCTTACCTTGGAGATAAAACAACTGTCGTGAGAGAGCTGGCTGACCTTGAACATGTGTTTCCTATTTTAGTACAGAATGTAAATACAGAACAAACTATTTTACATAGATTTTGATGGGATTGAGATATAAGGGCTAATTTTTGTTATTTATGGAGTAAAAATTTCCTTATTTTACTGTTTAAAAAAAGTATCTAATTCAAGAGAAGGGAAAAATGTTCATCAATAAAATGTCTTTAGAAAATTGATTCTTCTTGTGCTTTCCTTTGAGCTGACAATTATTAACCACAGGAATAAACACAATAAAGGACCACTATTACAACAGTCATTTTTGAGTGAATTTTGAAACATGAAATGACATTAAGTCTGCATAATTACCACTTTATTAAATCGTTACTTGATACACTTTGAATTTGAAATGTTCTGTGTTGTTATTAGCTCATACATGACTTATCAGAAGTTCAGCCTGCAGGCGAAGAGGGGAGGTTCCTGAATTCTCTATCCCATTTATGCGTATTTGATGCTTAAACATTATGTAATATTCAAGTCTTTATCAACTTGGAATGAGAGATCATCATTCCCAGTTTTGTATAAAGAACTTGGCTATGGTTCCCACTTCAGCAGAAGGAATGGTGGTGTTGCCTGCAGTGGCTGCGACTGGACGCAGAGCTGCCTTCACTGCTCTGCAGCAGGGATCAGTGCCGCTGCAGTTTCTGGTACCCGACCTAGCTGGGAGACTGAGCTTCTTACAATAGATTTATAATTACAGTACATTTATATATATTACTCTGATAAACATGAAAGAGATAACAACACTCCTCTAAAAGGCAGAGTAAAGATGATTTTATAATCTAGCTTTTTTTTTGCTTTTTCTCTTTCCCCTAAGCAATATGTCAGCAAATACATAGAGAGATTAAAAAACCCCACTTGCCTTCCTTTCTGCTGTTCTGGAAAATCGGATAAAGCGAAGCATAAGTAGGTTACTCTTCCTTTTTGTTTGCCTTGTCTCAAAATAGGACTCTTTCAAAAGGGTATCAAAGCTTATAAAATGTGCACTGTTCATTCTATAGATGGTTTTAACTGTGAAAAACACCAGGTATGTAAAGTTACCCAAGTGCAGCTATGAGGTTTAAAAATATTTAATGTTCTAAAATTAGCGCCAGCGGTAGCAAAACAACACCCCTGCTCTATGAACCAGTTTGTGTTTAAAATTCAGGAGGGGAGAGAGATCCCCTCTCCCCAGCTGTGAGATGCGGTGCTTAAGCTACAGCAGGGTCAGGCATTATTCTGCAGCCTGGGACAACGTGGGAAGCTGTGCCGGTATCAGCCCAGTGGCTCTTCCCAGCAGAGTTAAAATGCAACCCAGCGTCAGATGCAAGTTTTACAGCATTTCTGTGCGTCTGCAGCGGTCATTTTCATGCATGTATAAAAAGTCAAGTATCACAGGGGGGTTTTCACTGTTACTGGTTGTGTCCTCAGAACAGCAGCACTGCATAAGCTGCAGGCTGAGCTGTGCATACACCCTCCCGGTCAACCTCCACTTCTTCCCTCTCAGCTTCTACCGATTTATGACAATGACTTGCTGAGAAATCCTGACCCTAACACAAATGTATTTGGTTATTCCCACTGTTTTATCTGTATTTCAATGGAGTACAGTAAGTTTAACAAAGGTTAGGCTATTGCTGAGGTTTCTTAGTCTCCTGAATTTGAAGCAAACATTCCCCTGCAAGAAAACCCTCTTCTCTCCTTTGACCTGCCCCTAAAGCTGTTTTATATCTACATCAGCTGAACATTCATGTGTGTCTGAGCACAGTGACAATGCCCATTTTTAAAAAAAAAAAGCCTACACTGGGAAATGAAATCCAGGAAGGAATACATGACACTAAGTATAAAATGTTATTTGTGCTTGAGGGGAATTACGGAAACTCAACATTTGCCCGTGTGATTGCGTTTTGCTGCTGTCAGACCTTTTTTTTTGTACTATAGCTTGTCTGTTTGGATGAGTTCTTCAGTTTTTCTGTATCATCTTGTGCTCTTCTGTAAGCAATATTAGTAGGCAAAATGTTGAGCTTCACATGAGCTGGACTGAGTTCCTTACAATGGAAACTGTTTTCAATTGACAAGAAGGTAAGTGTAGGAAAGGCCACATTAGTAACTCAAATACTGTTAAATTTTACATTCATTTCCTGTTGGGTATAGCATTAAACTTAAAGGCAATTTTTCCCCCCAGAATGAGAATATGTAAATACATTCTTTGTTGCTTTTACAGCAAGCACTGCCACACAGCCTGTTCCTCTACTTTATTTGCTGTGGAGTTGACAGAAGTCCTGGGAAGATGAGACTGCAACCAGGTGAGGAGAGGGGATCTCTAAAGGTGCTCTGGGTGGTTCTGCAGGCACGCGATGAAATCCTGAATTGGTAGACACTCATAGCAGATCTTATAGATGGTTGTAAATAATGGAAACCTAAAAGGAGTGCATAGCAATGAAAATACTTTTAAAAGTTGATATATATAAATATTTCTGTTCAGTTTATAATGGGAAGGAAAAATAACCCACTCTCTTTTTTCTCTCTCTTTACAATGTAATTTTAACTCAGAGGTGCCTTTACTGGAAGACTCTACAGGGCAACTAAGAGGAACTAGGGGCAATTTTTGGAGGGTGACAGCAGAAAGAGCTGTTTTAGAGACAAAATGCTTATCCAGTATTTTTTATTAAAAAAAAACCCTTGAACTGCATATCCTCTTTTTCCTCCTGTGTACAGAATGCAGGTATTATTTGCATTCATTATTCAGGTCTAAAAGACTAAAAAGAATGAAAATGTCTAACAATTTTATTTTCCTGGCTAAAAGGTTCTTTCCCTTTTCCAAGCTGTCTTAGTCATTATGTGGTAAAATATGAGCCCGCTGCATGACTTGGAGCCATATATGTAACTAAGTGCAATTATAGGATACTTACTAGATCAAGTTTGATTTAAAGTTCACATCCTGTCAAAAGGAGCTTTTATTTTCTCATTTTTGAAAGATAATGCCACTTTGATTTTCTGTATCTGTTATAATTCTAATAATTGGAGAGTTTTTAAGTATCCTTTAGTGGCATTTGGCCCCTCAGTACTGCTCATGTATGAGAGGGAATGGGATGGAAGGAAGTTAAGCTTTTCTATTACATAAACTGAGACAAAGGTTTAAAATTACAAGTAATTTTTCATAATCCCAAAGAATTAGAGGTACTTTTTAATCTCAGCCTTATTTGTGGCACTAAAGCACCGATAGCAGCACATATTACCTACTCAATGCATGTAAAAAGTTTTATTTAGGACCATGCTCCCAAATTTTATACTGAGATAAGCACTGAGAGCAGTATTGCCGCAAGCTGTAATGCTGATATACTAAGATCAAGAAAACCTTTGACCCATAGATCATGTTTGCAAGCTGACTCCTACGGTCTTCAGCCTTGTCTAGGGGAATGGGGATGTCTGGGTAGCTCCTTTGGATTATTATTTCTTTTTTCCCTGCACATGTGTGGCTTGTTTCTTTTAATGCTGTTTAGCCTTCACCCCATTCTACTGACCATGGCAATGAGGAGCTCTAATGGTGGCCCAAGATGTAGACAGCAATTGTTGCAGAAATGAGCAAGGTAATTAAACAGAAGTACTGTTAAGGAGTACCATTAAGGAGGTTGTGAATCACTCATAATTTGTTGTTGATTCAGTTGGGGTTTTTAAATCAAAACACTTACTTATCGAGCATATTTTTCTGTTTCAGAATCTTGTAGACTTCAGCTGAGGTCTGAGGACCTTGCAGCTTTTGTCCGTTCAGCATCTCATTTTCCAGCTCCTGAATGGACTAGAAGAGAGCAGACCGGTTACTTGGATCACAGGGGACACTGCTGCAATACCAGCAGCTATTGAGAAGGTAAATGGCCAATGATGCCTTCGTAAAACACAGAGGGATTTCTTCATGTATTAGTGTAAAATATGTCAAAATCTTCCTTACTTTTCCTGTGCGAGCAAAGGCTTCTGCTACTCTTCTGTTGCGTCCCCCGTAGCAGGTAGTGATTAGATCAGCAACCCCGCAGCTTTCCAGAAAAGTGGCTATTGATACTGGTCCCCTGCAGAACATCTTGGCAAAGGCCACCATTTCCATAAGGCCCAAGCGTATCACTGCTGCCTTTGTATTATCGCCAAAACCCAGTCCATCGCAGAACCCAGCTCCCACTGCTACGATGTTCTACAACCAGTTCATTGTGAAATACAGAGGAGAAAAGGAAATAAAATAGTCAGACAAGATGTGCAGTGTATCAGCATGCACTGAGCTTTAAGAAAATCCCACAAATCTGTCTGCAATTTCCAATGGCTGTGAGCTTATCTTATGAAGAAGGTAGACAGCCAGTTACTGTTGAATAAAAGTAGCTGGAATACTAGAGGATTTCTTGGAAATATCTGCTGTTATTCTCATGGGCAAAAATCAAAGCATCTTGTTTAATATGCTGCAATCACGTAGTGTGTATGCAATTAATGTTTTGATTTTCTGCTACTTCCAAGTTGGGCTGCACTGACCTTTCTGTTTTAATTAGTTTAAATATCCCACATGGAGTCATGCCTTTCTAGGTTTTGTCTGTGGGTCTCTAACTTAGACAGGCATGGGTTCTACGTACAGATGCTGCAGGAGATCAAATCTGGGTTTCACATGTAAAAAAGTCAGTAGAATTGCCCTTTTCTACAGCTCTAAACAAATCTTTTGGGATCCTAAACATCTTCCCAACTCCTTACCTGCACACCCCCTTCCCACCTTCCAATTCCCAGCCCTAAATAAGTCCTTAAATAAATGAAGTTCACTGTGTATGAGTAATATGTCACCTTGTACTGCCATTGAAGTGTTTGAAGTGTTTGCACCAGACATGCATGTGCCCCAGTGCCGACTTTTTATCTTTAGCAAAGGCAATGCCAAAGCAATGTTTTCAAGAAGAACAAAGATTTCCCACAAAGCAGAAAGAACCCCTCTCACCTCTATGCCTGCCTCTGGTTCCAGTCTGTGGCCAAAAGCAAAATCAGGGGATATTTGAGTTTTTATGTAAAGAAAATTTTCTTTTTGTACGTAAGGTTAAACAGGACCAATTGTTTCCTAACCTCCCCCACTTCTCTGAGGAAAGGTGAATTACTGAAGTACAAATCATTGAATGTATAAAAAAGTACAAAGGATCACAAGCTGGAGTCACTTTCAGCACATTTAAAATCAAACTTTGAATGTGCTGCCTCGTTGCAAATTTGGTGATTTTGTTATCATTTCTGATGCAGCCTGGGATCTCGAGGTGGGCATTGGTGGATGCCACACAGATGTGCTGCCAGCACAGAGCACTGCTTCTGATGCAAACTTTCTAGCAAGTTACTACTTGAACCATGGAAATATGTTATTAGTAGGAGTTACTATTGGTAGTAAGAATCTATTTCATGTGCTTACAATGTGCAGACAAGAAAATACATGGACTAAATTCTGCCCTCAGCAGCAGAGGTGCCTCTGATAAAATAAAAGTAAAAATACAACTATTTGGAAATACTTTGCCAGCAGTTATATTTTTAAGTAAACTTTCCCTTCTTTACAGGTTGGAAAACTAGCACATGAACTAAACAACTGTGCTCACTCAGTCAAACAGTGGTACCTCATATTAGACCCTGTGCCTTACAGAAGATTCAGGTGGGGGCAGAATTTGGCCCTAGTAAGAATATTTTGTGTTGAAATCACTCACTTTTAAGGCTCCACAGATCTCCACTGTATCAGAGTCAAGCACCACGGTAATCCTGAAATTGGGGGTCTGCATTAATTCTTTAAAGATTTCCCCATGTTTTTCGTTTTTGCAGCCTGTGGGAAGTAAGGTGACAGTGAGTTTGCTGTGTTTCAGAGTACGCACAATTAACTGAAATCCGAAATAAGGTCCCAGGGATCTCTTTAGGTTTGGTGTCCCAGTAACTGGGTGTTACTAAACAAGACATTTGTGTGACAGCAGCTTGTGGCTACTGGGAGCCAGTGTTAAATGTATGCAAGTCACACGGCATTGACCAAGCATCGCTTAACAACACTTTAAAGAGTTTCAAGATAGCCCCCAACACAACTTTCTGCCTGAGAAATCTTGTATAACTACAAACCTTTCAAAAGATGATATTTACAAATCACTTTGTATAGCGCAACAGTATAATTTCTGCTTTAAAAATGTAAGCAGGTGTAATTGCTAAATATTATTATGGGGTGCAAATGATTAACGCTCCCAGTTACAGGGAGATCCACAGATAATGAAGTTGAATGTTGGCACTACTGTAACATTTTGGTAGCCAATTCTGTGGAGGTCATGTGTAATGTCATTACAGTGCTCACCCTAGGTGTTGAAAGAGAGCCCTCAGCGGTAAAGGGGCTGAGGTCTGACTTTATCCAGACAGCCCACAGCCATCTGGGCAAAGATTTATGAATGGAGTTTCACTTAATTTTTATGCAAGTAGCTCAGTTTCCTTTGGGGCATGCTCAGCAGGGCTAGTTTTACTAGCCTGGGGCATCACACTCTGGCAGCTGTGAGGTTTCTGCCCCATCTCACAGGAAATTTGGGGTTTGCATTTCACTCTTCACAATAATTGATGCTGGGGGATACCCAGTCACTTTGAGGTGGCTGTTTCTAGGCTATGTGGCTTACCATGAGGACAAAAACAAGGGGCAAAGCTCTGCACAATCATCATCACAGCATGGCTTCAAACTAGGCCAGCAGAAGTTAAATTCTGCCCAAGGAAATAGAATCCTAGAATCATAGAATAGTTAGGGTTGGAAAGGACCTTAAGATCATCTAGTTCCAACCCCCCTGCCATGGGCAGGGACACCTCACACTAAGCCAGGTCACCCAAGGCTCTGTCCAACCTGGCCTTGAACACCACATTGAATGATGGAGCATTCACAAGTTCCTTGGCAACCCATTCCAGTGCCTCACCACCCTTACAGGAAAGAACTTCTTCCTTATATCCAATCTAAACTTCCCCTGTGTAAGTCTGAACCTGTTACGCCTTGTCCTGTCACTGCAGTCCCTAATGAAGAGTCCCTTCCCAGCATCCTTGTAGGCCCCCTTCAGATACTGGAAGGCTGCTATGAGGTCTCCACGCAGCCTTCTCTTCTCCAGGCTGAACAGCGCCAACTTTCTCAGCCTGTCTTCATACGGGAGGTGCTCCAGTCCCCTGATCGTCCTCGTGGCCCTTCTCTGGACTTGTTCCAACAGTTCCATGTCCTTCATATGTTGAGGACATCAGAACTGCACAAAATACTCCAGGTGAGGTCTCACAAGAGCAGAGTAGAGGGGCAGGATCACCTCCTTGGACCTGCTGGTCATGCTCCTTTTGATGCAGCCCAGGATATGGTTGGCTTTCTGGGCTGCGGGTGCACACTGAAGCCAGCTCGTGTTTAGTTTCTCATCTACCAACACCCCCAAGTCCTTTCTCACAGGGCTGCCATAATCTCTTCTCTGCCTGACCTGTAGCTGTGCCTGGGATTGCTTTGACCCAGGTGTAGGATAAATAAATATTGCTCAACTCCCCTAATCGTGGCTAGTCCTATTTACACCAGTTGCTCTGCCCACAACAAAGGCCCAGCTGGTACGGTTTTCACTATCACTGTAAAATTTGCAAGCAAAGGAGCAGTATTGCTTTTATATTCCTTTCCTAGCTATGGAGCTATGTAACTTTAATTTTGACTGACTTTAAAAATCAATGGGTTTTAAAAACTACTGTATAAACTTTCCAAATCAGGTCAGACCCAGTGTTGGGAGGATCTGAGGCTGTCTTGGCAAGCAGTCAGAATGGGAGGGAGGAACAGAATGTTACTGGGGGTTTGGTTTGGTGTTTGTTTGGTTTTTTTGAAAACAAAGAAATTTTGAAGATGGAGAAACACACTTCAGGGAGCATGAGCACATATAAGCTTCTGATTACACTTCTCTGTCTAGACTGTATAGTGTATCAACTGCTGATGTACTCAGTGTTGAGCTGTACAGACACAAAAGGTGGCTCTTGCCAACTCCTACAAAAACAGGATTAAGCTGTAATTTTTTAATGGATTAAATTAGCTCTCAGCACTGAAACTTGCTGTTAGTTTGGATCTGATCCTGCCAGCACCAAACTCCCTGGAAATAATTCTGCCTCCCTGAATGAGCTCAACACATACTGTGCCTCTTGGGAACCACCTGGGACCCATCACATCCCCCTGCTTTCTCCAGAGGTTATCCCTGTTGCCCAGCCACAGGTGATGATGAATTGCAGCCAGCAGCTCTAATTTGCTCTTTGCAATACTTACCAATGGTGGTTTCACAGAACTTCTCATCAGCCACTTCTTTGGCTATGTTGGCCCCCATAAGCACGCTGATTTCTATTTTCAGTTTCTCTCGAATGAGGTCAGATATGAGCTTCAGGCCTTCGGGACCCTCATCAATCCCCTGAATAAAAGGCGATAGTCAGAGCCAAACTGTTAGAATAAGAAAATGACAGCAGTGGAGCACTGGTAAAGCAGAAAGTGTCCTATTGCCTGCAGCTCTCTGATTTTAACTGGGTCTTGTATTTACTGGCATTAGTCATTGACCCGAATGTTCTCGGTTTGTACTTTGATTACAGCAAACTCAAGGCAAGTTCAGGGAAAAGAAAGCAACAGTGAGGTAACCCTGCAAGAAGCCTCACATCCAGTACTGCTTTCTTTAATGTTGTATTATTCCTTTGTGTTTAATTTCTGTAGTACAGAACCAGAGTTTTAAATTAAGCCTATAACCAGTGGAGTTTTTGCAAGATCCAAGTATTAATGTGAGTGCTTCATTGGTATTACAGAGTATACTGAACTGTCTTGTTTGGGTTTGTTTTTTTAAGCTAAAGAAATAAGTAAATTTGCAGGCATTTCCTTCCTTCCCCACCTCCTCTTCTCTGTGTACTGCTTCTTGTGAGATAATTTCTATAGGGGAACAAAGTGGGGAGGGAAAGAGCTGGTACTGCAGTCTGAAAACCTGAATTACATTTCTTTCATGACAATTTTAAATTGTATATTTTCTATAATGCAATCAAAAGAAGAAGAGGTAGACTGTATTCCTATGCTTTGCCTCTGGCTTTTAGTTTGAGATTCTCTTAAAATATTAATTCCTTTTAAGATTCTCATAATCTGGTACCTCTAACCTTAAAAAGAGATTCCTCAGTTCATGCCAGATTGAAATGGTCTCAGTTCTGCAACATCTTAGTTGCTATTGTACCATTTTAATGCTGCCAAGAACAACTTTAACATGTACTTGGAAGAGGCACTTTGACCCAGCGCTCTTTACAGTTAAGAGTTAATTGAGGCTGTAGTCTGAGTATTTTTACTGGCAGCAGCACCAGTTTGTGCAGTCCTCTCTCTGTCCATTTTCACCTCCATGCTGGTCCAAGTGGGAATTTATCCCGGCTAAAGATGGCTGGCAAAGACAGATACTCTTAGCCTGGCTAGGTTGCCCCATCCTTTCCTCTCATGGGCAGCAGAAGGGTTGGCAGAGGCTGGGTAAGTTTTAACTCTTGCAGAAAGAAATGCTTGTTTTTATGCAGACCATGCAGCTGAGGGCTGGAGCTCTTATCCTTAAGTTGAAGCTATTTATTTACTCCATACAGATGGAGTCTTGTGGAGATGACAACTTACCTTGATCAGGGAAATCCCAAATGTCCCAGGCTTTATGTGGTCCGCAACCTGCTCGCAGATTCGTCCAATGAATTGGTGTGGCAGAACAAACACTAAAATATCTGCCCAACTTGTTGCTTCAACCACGTCTGGTACAGCCACCTGGGACAAGAGTGACAACCAAAATGAGCCCAGGTAGGAATCCTCATACCTCACAAGATAACAATGTGCTGAAGCCTTTGCAGATGTGTTGCAAAAATGGCCTTAATTTTAACAGCTGCTAGCTCTTCATTTGAGCAGTTACAGATCTCTTCTGAAATATCCAAAGCAGACTATTTTAGGTTTGGATTTTTAATTTTTTTTTTTTTTTTTTAGAATTTATTCCAGCCCTGTGTGGATAATCTGGGGAAGACACTATAATTTCTAAACTTGCAACACCCTGGGAAGCCCCTTTTCTGGTTCAGCTCCTTCAGGCAGTTCCTGAGCAACCCTATATGGTTCTTTTGGAATGAATGGTAGTACCAGGAGCACAGGGACAAACTGGGATGGTGAGACAGAGCCTCTTTTGGCAGTCTTTAGTTTCCACACGTCACCAGCTGAGATTTAGTCAGGAATAAACTATATAAAAAGCAGAGATTAGCATAATCTTTGGGCGTTATGTGTCTTTGTGTTAAATATATGCTAACATTGACCAATAGTTACAAAACCCTATACAGCATGCTTAATAACTAGAAAGCTGTATCTTCCTCCTAATGTTAGCATTACTCAGAACAACAATTTAAGCCAGGCTGCAAAGGCAATGGCAGGTGATTTTGAGCCTGCTATCACAAGCAGTTTACAGATAGGGAAAACATCACTCTTGGGAGCAGCCTTGGAGCACACAGCCATAGAGCAAGAGGATTCCTAGTGGGAGAACCAGAACTGCTGCCAGCAAGGCTGCTTCTCCAGGGTAACAGCAAAGTGGGAGTGGGGTAAAGGCTGGTAGTGCTGTACAGGCTGTGCTCCTCTCTCCAAAATGCTGTAGAGCAATGCAAGGAAAAAATTAGTTGGGTTTGGTTGTTTTTTCCCTCAGTAAGAGATTAAGATGTGAGGGTCCCTCCAGGCTTTACTGCTGGTGAAGGCTCAGACTTTGCTGTAGAGAGGATGAGGCTGATCTCAAGTGGTGATGACAAGCCTGTTGACCTGCTAGAAGGTTGTAAAAGTAAGTGATAAGTCAATTGTACCCCAGGAGAACTGTGCCAAGTTCAAACCATAGGAGTGCAAATATGCAATCGCAGCACTAAATGCAGTACTAAATATAACCACTCTCAAAGCAAGGAGAGCCACCACGTGCAGTGTCTAAACTTCCTTTTACCACTGCAACTGTTCCAGAAATGTGGTGCTACTTTCTTTAATTCACAAAACAGGGGCGTTTGGCAAAATCCCAAACAGGCAAAACCCCTCACCTCGCTTGCTTCAGTAGCAGTAAATCATCTAAGCTGATTAATTTAATTAGATTAATTAGAATTGCATAACTCGGTGTTTTAAATGTTCATGAAAATTAAATACCTTATTATTTTTGGTGGAATTTACAGCATTATTAATTATAGCAGTGTCTTGCTAGCCTGAAATTACCCCTGAGCCAATAGCTCATTATTCAGCCCCTTGTAAGCCACAGCTGTTAGCTGTGCTGTTGATTCCTTTTTTAGAAGGGAGAGCAGTAGCTTTCCCTTTTTTTCCCAGGATATGCTGCGGGTTTGAAATAGCTCTGTGCAGACAGATCTCTGCCTGCCATCCATAGAGTTCTGTTGATTTCTGCCAGAGAGGAGGATGGTGCGTTACCAGCACCTGACAGTTGGCTGTTTGAAGTTACATGTGACACACGAGACAAGAAGTCACAAAAGTGAATTATATTCCAGTGAGTTAGGTGGCAAACCAGAGTGAAGCAGTGAATTACTTCCTTATTTTTGACAGATGTTGTCTCCCTTACAAAATAAAAGTGTTTCAGTGGTTTGCTTTTATTTTCAACTTACCACATTTTGGGGTATCTTGTATCCAGGCAGGTATTTAACATTTTCATGTTCCTGGTTGATGATTTCTGTGAGTTTTCTTCCATTGATGATCTCTTCAAATACCCATATCTTGACAGTAGGATCAAATCTGTTGGACTTCTGGACATTTTGGCCAATGATTCTTGCTATGGCTGATCCCCTTTAAAAAGAAAAAAAAAAACCCAACAATTAACAGAAAACAAAAAGTTTTATTGTGAATTGGAAACAGAAATTCTTTAAACATAAGAACTCATAAAAAAAGCCTGTGCTATAGAGCAGTTCAGGTGCTTGCTACATTTATCAGAAGGCTTTATCTACTACCCTCCATCAAAACCCCCTCAGTTTAAAACCACAGAAAGTAGAAATAGAAAAAACAAAACTGTAACCAAGGGATCTGAAGTCCTATCAAAGATTATAGACTTGAAGTATGACGTACCATCAACAGCAACGAAAATACAGTGCCTGCAATTAAAATCTCACTTGATCCTTGGCTAATTATTTATTTTCTTTTTTCTGAAGATGAACAAATGTGGAACAACCCAGGTGGTAAAGCACTGTTGAGCAATTGGCCGTGACAGTCTTTGTACATCTCATCTAAAATAGGTGCATCCCACTTTCCTACCAATAACCAAACAGTTGCAATTAGGAGTTTTTATAAGAGCCAAATCCTCAGAAATTGTTCTTTTCTTAAAAATAAAAATAAAGTCTTCAGCCTGATGGTTTCTCTTTATTTATTGTTCTATTTATCGCCATAACAGGGTCTGTAATAGTTGCAGCCTGAGGATATTTTAACCATCCAGTTTACTCTTCTTCAGGCAGGCGGAGCATTTTTTAATCTCAGCGCAGACACTAATTTTATTTCCCCATCACCAGTGTAGCATTGCAAACATTCACCTATTTTCTTGGCAAGAGAGAATTAAAAACCCCACAGAAAATATTGGCAGTTGTTTAATGATCTTTAAATTATATGGGGAGGAGGGCTGATTACTTTTACTCCTCTGTTCCCTCTTTCCATTTTAATGCCACGACTGAAGGAGGAGCTCCAGTTGCAATGCTCTTGTCCTTTGAGCCACTTATAACGCACCTGCAATGAGCAGTATGAACAGGATTTAGCTGTGATACGTTTTCTGGGACCAGTAAAGGTCTCCAGCATATCCAAGACGAAGTCCAGGTAGGTCTGTGCTGCCAACAGTTCAAAGGGAAACCACGTTGTAACTGGCTCTCCTTGGCTCAACCACATTTTTGATATAACAGGTTTGCACAAGGGTGAATTGCTCAATAAGCAATAAAAGAGTAAGGGCTTCATCTTAATCTTTAACGATAAAGAAATACTACTGAGATCATGTTTCACTTTGCTGAGTGTTGACTACATGCTATATCCTGAACTGCCATAATGCTTTTTTGTTTGTTTGATTAGTTGGTTTTGGCTTTGGTGGGGTTTTTTTTGTTTGTTTGGTTTGGGGTTTTGGTGTTGGTTTTGGTTTTTAAGGGATGATTGGCTTTAGTCCTTTAAAACATTTAGGGAAATGTTTTAAATGTTTAAATGTTTTAAAACATTTAGGGAAATGTTTTAGGGGTGAAATTTTATTGTAAGAGTTCTGCTTTTTTTTTTTAAAAAAAAGACATGCAGTCATAACATACATTCATAGAATTTATAAAATTACTTATATTCTTGTTCTCTTACCCTGCTATCTACAGAGGGCACAATCAAAGCTTGAACTGAGGATTAATTGTGCTCTGCATAAGAAATATGTATTAAAGGATAAGGGTTAAGGGTTTTTTGTTTGATTGGGCTTTTGTTGTGGTTTTGATTGGTTGTTTTTTCCCCAGATAAACCTGAGATCTAAATCCATTGTCCAGCTTATGCTGGAGTTTCCAGCACAACCTGCGTGATGAACTGAGAACTGAAGCCTATCCATAAAACCAACTTTTCTAGCTATGACCAAGTTCATGTGATTTTCTGATGAAAGATGTACACTGCAGCTGTAACCTCTCAAATACTGAATGGAACTTTCAACTCTCAGTATATAAATCTGATCTTCTAGCAGAGCTGTCATTACCACCACACTCGGATGTTGCCACCCAAGTGTTTTCCTAGTGACAAGATATCAGTGAAGGTATCTCAGGCATAAAGGTAGCTCCATAAATAACAGTGTTTTCCTTTGGTTTCTCTTTAGATGAATGAGGATTTGGGGCAGAAAGGATTTAATGCTTAAAAGGCATTGATCAGTCACCACAAACCCCTCAAACAGTTCAAAACATGATGCTCTGTTTTAGTTACTCCATTTAAAATTCAGTCACCAGCCTTGGGAAGAAGAATTGCTTTGCCTGTGAAGGTGGTGTTTGGTAGACTACAGAGGCTTGGCGGAAGAGGGTTGCTTATGCAAACAAGGATGCTAATGTATAGCATGGTTTTATTTTCTCCAAAACTCAATTTAGTGAAGACTAATAGAAAGCAGAGAACTCCACTTAGATAATCTTTTTTAAGTAAGTAAAAACTGCCCATCAGGGCTTTTTTCCCAATTATGTTAATTTGTGTTGGAAGTGATTTACATATTGCTAAGAAAATAAAAGTTTTTAAATTTTAATATTTTAAATTTTAAATAAAAAGATTTTCTATCAGTATAATAAGAAAGCTTTGATATAGAATAACTCAAATAAGACCTGTTAGTTACATACGTGAATATGAAAGCGATTGAGACATACCTCAGGTCTGGTAAAGAATAAAGGTTAATGGACCTTGCAAAGCAGCTAATCCATTAAACACTTTAGAGTATATTAGGAACTTATGCTGTTCTTAATGGTTTTTCTGAGGAGGTCTTAAAGACCTCAACGGTTGCAGGTCTCTTCCCTTCCCCAGCCAGCCCATCTCAGGTCTTTGCTATCCTCAACATTAGGAAGATCATCCTCACATTTAAGCTAAGTCTTTCTTACCACAGTTTAAGCCCATTTCTAGACTAGAAGGGTGGAATATTGTTTTTCTCCTTCAGATATTTGAAGACGATCATGTCTTCTTCCAGTCTCTTTCTTAGGCAACCACCTCAAGTTTTTTAAATTATAGTATTGCTCAGGTTGGAAGGGACCATCAGAGGTTTCCAAAGTGGGAACAACAGTGAGTACAGATGGGTTACCCAAGGCTTTATTCAATCAAGTCTTGAAAACTCTCCAAGAACCACCTCCTCTCTGGGCAACCTGCCCCAATGCTTTATTATTCTCCAAGAGTTGTTTTTATCTCCTCTCTTCATACATTGAGTTAGAACCTCCTCTGGTTCAATTTATGACTGCTGCCTCTTGTTTTCCTTGCACGCACCTCCACAAAAAGCCTGGCCATCTGTCCATGTTGAAGACAAGAACCTAGCTGAAGCTGGAGGTTTGCTAGAGAATCTGCAGTCCAAGCAAATCCGAGAAGCTTGGGAGAGATTTTGGATTCTGAAAGGCCAGTCAGTGAACTATACTTCTATTTTTAAAAACGGGTAACTGAACCATGGTTAATGTAAACACATACCCTCCTGCACCTGGCTGGCAACTGCAAAATGCAGTGCAGTACTTTGTTTAACCATACCACTCATGAGCCTCCCGGCAGTGTTGACTTAGGAAGTCCCAGTGACCTGCTGAACTTCTGCAGCTGACATGAGCTATTGCAACATGCTGCATTGTCAGCCTCTTTTCTGAGCTGCAGGGAAGACTCAAGAGCAGTGATCTGAACTGTCAAATATTCAGGAGGAACATAAAAAGAAAAATGTTTGCCAAAGGTAAACATGGCTTTTCTATGTTGTGTTAATACAATCTGTTCTGCCGCAGAGCCTATGAATAGATGTGATTTGAACATTTGAGCACAATGCTTATCTCCTCCCCAAGGATTTACAGGCTATGTATATGACAGGAAGCAAGAGATGTGCCCAGGCAGACAGGCAGCATGAGTAAGTACACAGTATTGAATGGGCTGGGGTCTCTGTATGTCTGTGGCATAACCCTTTTCAAGTTTGTAGGTACCTGTGAAAAAGGCGAACTTCCTCCTTTCTCGAGTATGGCTTCTGAAAGGAGACAACCAAAAGGTTTTGAAGAATATCTTACAGCAAGGGGACAGCTTGGGAAAGGCAGGGGGTGCTTGCTTGAGAATGCAGTAAGAAAACAATGAAGGCTGTCACTACGGACTGACCAAAGGTAAAAGCTGACTCCCAGGGGTACAGCCATGGGAGTTCAGGGGCTTGGAAGTGACAACGAGCTGCCTGCACAGGCTTGGATGTCTGTGGTTAAGTTAAGGTGAAGGAAGAGAGGGCAGGGATGCAAGCCCTGGAATGACATGCTAAATGCAGCAGTCAGAAAAGCGCTTGTACAGAAGTCACGGGGCAGGACTGTATCTGTCAGGGCCAGAGAAAGGCAGATGCGTGATGATGAGTTCCCAAAGAAGACTTAGCTGTGCAGTTACGTGTCAAGGGCTGTGTCTGAGAGATGTCATGCACAAAGAGACTGTGATCAGAAAGAGCATGCATGTGGGAGCTTGGAAAGCAACGGACTGGTTTTGCAAGGCAGGAAGGCAAAGAGCTGTACACAGGTATGCTGTGTTTTCAGCAGTTCACAAGCAACTACTCCCACACCTACTGATTTTTTTGGTGTTTGCTTCCATTTAGCTGTCACATATTTTAAAAATTTGAAGAGGCTTTCTTGCCTGGTACAAAAACAATCCACAGAGCTACTTGAAGGCTGGGTTTGCTGATCCCAAGTGCATGCACATACATGTTGGTCTGTTTGTTTGTACTCAGTTTACATAAACTGTAAGAGAAGTAAGATGCAAAGTCCGGTGCACTGCCTTCACTGGGGTCTGACTCAAGGAGCTCTGGAGCTTCTGTCCAGGCTAGAAGGGACTGAGCAGTAGCAAACATATTCTTATGAATGTGGATAAGGATAAATGGGGGACCTGAACGCAAGGCTTATACAGGGCTGCATCTGCACCGAGATGGAAAATGACATGCCGAGGGGCATGCAAGTAAGAGATGCCAATAAGTCATGGCTTTAAATGGAGCCTGTGCCCTAGTTCTTTCAAAGAACACTAACAGCATCACTACTGAATGCTTAAATTTGAACCACCTGGGCCCAGTCACCTGCGCACACAAGCCGCAGAGGCACAGCTCTGCTCCTCCTGTGAATCTCTAGCCTGTCATCAGGCTTTAAATGGCTTACACAGCCCAGCGATGCAGGAGCCCCATGTTTTTCATGCTCTCACTGCCTGGTGCATCTCCCAGGGGCAGCTGCCCCTGCTCAGAGAGCCCGGGAGGCTGAGGCACGACACGGTCGGCACCGGGGCCGCGGTTTCAGGACCATGGAGACCCCCGGCTGCCCCCAGCCCCGCCGCTCTCAGCACAGAACCTGTTGCGAAGCCCTCAGCAGCGGTTAGGGGAGCCGGCCCGCGGTGCGGTACGGCCCGGCTGTCCCGGTGTGGGCCCGCTGCGGGGATTGGGGGAGGACGACGAGGAGGTGGGAAAAAGGAAAGAAATGGGAGTAAAGGGAGCAGTGGGGAATGGAGGAGAGCAGGGAAGAGGTGGGGGGACTCGGGGTCCCCCGCGCTGCGGCACTCACCAGTTCCCCGAGCCGACGATGCAGACGCGGAGCGGCGACATGCTTCGGGCTGCCCTGCCGCCTGGCGCTGCTGCCGGAGGCTCGGCTCGGCCCGGGCCCGGCCCGGCCCGCCTGCCAGCACCGCCCTTCCCGGCCCGGCCCCCGGCGCCTGCGGGAGGGACGGGCGCGAGCGGGGGGCAGTGCTGGTACTGCCCCCCTACTCCGCCTGCGCCTGTGCTTGCCCCTAGGGGCTGCCCTGCTATTTAGTGCCTTGGAGAGGGAACCGGGAAATCAGCACCTTCTCCGACATTCACAGGATTGAGGACCTGCGTGGGGAGGGCAGGGCAGGGCAGCCCGGCACTTCTCGTGGTGTGAGACTTTCCCACCCATCGGCAGCCCAGGGGGGTTCTGCAGGGTGGATAAGGTGGCAGAGATTGGGAAGGATAGAAGCCGGACCCTTAGGGGCAGGGAGAAATATCTGGAGGTCCCATGTTCTGCCAGACGGCTGCATCATGGCTTAAATGCTTCTGATAGATGAGGAGCACACAAGGGAAAGGTTATGAGTGCATCTGCAGAGACAATTTCAGCTGATAAATTATGGGTTATATCACAACTTTCAATATGGGGCATCTCGTAAAATTTATCTGCAAGAAAGAAGGAAATAGAGTGTTTTTCCTTTTCCCAACATGGTCTAATCATGCATAAAACCCTACAAATTATCGCATTTTACCTCACAACTCTCCACTGACCCCAAGTCCTCTTCAAAGCAGCCTTTCTCTCTCATTTTTGAGCCAGAGCTGCATTTGCTACCTCCCCTGCACTCCTGTGCCTGTGCTCCTCCTTCCTCTCATCCTGCCATGCTCCAGCTCCCTTCCCCTACCGGAGGCTGTAGGCTCAGCAGTGACCACATCTGCTCCCTTTGCACCAAAGCTTGGCTCAGTGGGTTTCTGGCTGCGTGTGACAAGGACACCCGACCCCATGATTCATAGATGGACGCTGGCTGCCAGCATTTCAGAAGCCCGTGGGTGTTTCTGGAAGTACACATATGTTCAGCTTGCCTGCTGTGAGCTTCATCGGCTTAGCTATTTGGTATGTCCTGATGGTGGTGAGAGTGCTTGGAGACATAACAAACTAGGGCAAAATCCTACAAAATACCTTGACAAAATGACGAGCACAGGTTGCTGAAAAGGAAGGTGTAGCTGGGCCCCTGGCCTTATATGAAACCTGATGAGGAGCTCAGTGAGAAGAAGCATTGCCCACATACACAGTTTCAGCACAGGCAATTGCACAAGAGCCTTTCTGTGGTTCCAGAGCCATTTCCACCAGTTTCCTACTTGTTCATCATTATTTGCTCTTTCCCTTGCTCTGTTGCTCCTCTGTGCCTCTTAGCTCTATTCTCTTTTTAACTTATTCTCCTTCCATGAAGGAGACGTACTGCAGAGGTGAGGAGGAGCCATCATCCTTTTTGCCCTGCTCAGTCCCTGAAACTTCTCTGCTTGTTGTTGTTCTGTTCTGGTGAGTCCCCAGGCCTCAAGTAAAGGACACACTCAGTGAAGTACTGGCTTCCACAGCCAATGCAAAAAACAGGTGTCCCTAGTCTATATAGTATTGCAAGCTGTAATGTTTTCATCTAAATTAATGTGGAAGCTTTAAATTACAAAGGGGAACGATATCAGTTTTGGTGGCCTCTGGACTCATGGCTGTATGTGTCCTCCACACTGAGGTTGCACTAACCATTTAGTCAGTGCACAGAAGCTGGCAGGGGTGAGACTGGCAGGGGATGAGCAGGCACATGGATACAGCAGCACTTGTAAAGAGCAGAGGATGCAGCCCAGGTCTGAGAGCACACATTAGCTTATACATCTTCCACTAATTGGCCATGGAAGTAGATAACTTGTGGTAATGCTGAACTGCCCTCTGGATTTGTGCACTCACTACTCCATGGAGATGGATAGGAAACCATTCATGCACAAAAGACTGTTCTGGGCAGTCTGCAGGCAGTTTTACTTGACAAGTTTGAATATCAAGGCTGTCTCAGTGGCAGGGTTGTGTGGGGACACAGAATGGCCCCAAGAAATGGGTCTTTTGTCAGATACCAGAGCCATACTGGGGGGATGTTGACAATTGTTGTTTTATCAGGCAAGGAGAGGGATCTGCCCTTTCCCACAAAGCCACAATGTTTGCTTTTCACATTAGCCCATGAGCACTACCTCTCATGTGTGAGTCATTAGTACATAACAGGCATAAAAGCTAGGTCTGCTTAATAGGGAGGATAAAGACAACCCTCTGAAGGCCACCCCCACCCAAGCTCACCTGACTGCCCGCACCTATCAGTCACACCTGTGTCAGTAGCCGGAGATTACACAGCCGAACAGTTTTCCTCTGCCTAACAGCTGCTGCAAACAGAAAAACCTCAGTGTCAGTGCCGCAAAGCCAGGGCAGCCCATGGGCGCTTTTTTCCAACCCCAGGTGTGGCTCTTTCTGTAACAGCAATGCAGTCTTTGAACACCCTGAAAAACGCAGCTGAGAAATGTCAAACTTGGCAGGCCAAGGATGGACAGGGAAGAGAGATGGGGCTGGGTGTTCTGTAGAGAGGGATTTGAGGGCAAAGTAAAGAGCAGTATGCTCTCTCCTAAGGTATAGATACAGCTATTGCATGCTTTGCTTCCTTGGCCACTGGTTGGTGGTATTTGCATGCTCTATACAATTGAGTATGGGATAGGGTTAATCCTTTGCTCTCCTTCCCCAGGTGAGCTAGAGTTCTTGGCCTAGTTCTTGATGCCAGCCTCATCATATTCTGTCTTAATATTGGTTAGGTTTTTTGCCCCTTCTTCTAAGGAGCATTTGTTTGAGACCATTACTTCTCTCACAGTGAGAGCCCTTTTCCCTATTTCATATCCAATTTATGCCCACCTGCTCTAGCACAAGTGCTGTCTATAGGTATGAATGATTTTTCTCCCTGGTGGTTATTTTCCTGCTCTGCCTGCCTTAAACCCCAAATCTGTTTACAGAAAGGAGTTGGATCCCTTCTCACTGTTCATTTTGCCAAGCTCAGCAAGACATGCTCTCTTTCCTCTTTTCTCTTCCTCTGATTACCTGAATGGCACTTCTCTGTACCTATTCCAGCATGAATTCAGGCTTGCTGAACACTGATAAGCTGAATAATGCCCTAAAACCCCCGCAGAATTTTACCCAGTGCCTTGTATGTATTTACTTATTGTTCCTGGAAATATGTGGCTTTCAACATAAAAGACTGTATTTACTTTATTAATAACTACATCAGGAACATGGCTCTTCCTCTTCTGTTTATGTTTAGTACATAAATTTTAATTTACAGCAGAAATGTTATCAATCTCTCAGTGCATGCCCCTGTATTTTATGCTGTTACATTTCATCCCATGTCTGTTACTAGGCCATAACAATTATATAATTCTTCCTGTGGTATTTCCTCTCTATTGAAAATGTCTCCCAACTTTGCTGTTAGCAAATTTCATTACACCACTCATACTTTTTTGTGCCGAGCTATCTAATGAAATTACTCAATAAGACCAATTCCTTCAGCCCCATAATTCTGCTATCAGCCCCATCAGTAGTTTTCACCCCCAGTATTATTCCTTTGGCATTTTATAGTATTTACATTAATACTCATCTTCTTGACTTTAACTAATAATTATCTAGATAATACCAAATCAAATGCTTTACCAAAGTCCAGGTTGATAAGATTTATTACTTTTCCTTAGTCTATCTTTGTCTGTAAATGCAATCATCTTGTCAAAGAAAGATATCGGGGTAGTCTACATATAACATGTCTAGCTTGCACTTTAATCTATTTTCTGCTTCCCTCAATGTTTTTGGTTACTCATAGCTAACATTTGCTCTAAAAAGCCTACAGATTTCAGTGATGAAGATTATTCAGTCTTCAGAAATGAAGGGTAAAGAGCTCTTGAGTTTTGTGGCTGTGTTGCATGCAGTGATTTACATATCCATGCCCTTTAGCTCATTAAGTGTGCTGACTCTGTTCTCTGGGGTTACATTTTCTTTGTCATAGAAACTGAAGCAATATATTCCTTTGGCTTTTAGGTATCTGCCCTGCTCTTATTGCTGGTGATGTTTTCCTTTGTTTCATTTGTAATCATGCATCTAAAAACCCTTTTGGTCTTGTTTTCCTTCCTTGTGCAGGTCTAATTTGTTTTATGTTTACCTGTACCTTTAATTTTGGCTGGTTGAAAGATAGTTTTCTCTGCATATCACTCCCTTCTTCTTTCACTGGGCTTTCTGCATATGCCTAAAATGTCCTGCACTGTCTGCCCCACAGTTCTCATCCTATAGGGGCATACAGAGCTACAGGTAATATTCTGCCTTAATTTGTCTGATCCCTTTGGTGAGAAGTAAGATTGAAGGAGTCTCTTCTTTCTTGTGACTACTTGATATCAATTGATATCAAAAGAATATGACTTTTGTACTCCCTGGGGTGGTGACCAGACAGCATTGCTCCCTGGCATCTCTAGGAATGCAGGCTTCAGAATTTAGGGAAAGAGGAGCAGAAAATCAAGTTTTGTTTTGTTTTTTTGTTTGTTTTTGTTTTTTGTTTTTTTTTGCCAAACTTTGTGGACTGATGTCAGCAGGACTCAACATGTAATTGTCTCACCTGTTTAGCCATGGGTAGAGTTAAGCTTGAGGTAGGGTTTCCAAGTTCAGCCTGGGTGTGTGAGAGGAGCTCACCTGTTGTGAGTGTCCATAGAAACCTTTCCCTGGATGAGGTCTGAAGACTATCAACAACCAAATGCTTCAACTCTACCCAAACTGCAAGCACCATACATAATCCTCACCCTATGCTAGTCAGCCTCATGGACTCATATATCATAGGCCTCTTTGCTTTCCACTGGAAAATTTTTGCACATAAGCTTTCCCTCGATTATATTCTAGAAAAAGATTCTAGAAAGATTTGCATTGGTTTATATATATATATATAAAAACACTAAATTATTGCACACTTAATGATTTTTAATTATAGGTAGTAAATAACAACCGTTTATACTGAGTAGCATGTAATAATGCAAAGCAACTCTTCCAGGATGTAAGGTACAAATAAATAGCATCAGTTTATGTCCCTAAGAGCTGACAGTCCAATCTACATACAGCTTCCACACGGACTTCTTGCAGTCTGCTTTTACTGACTCATGGGATCTAGAAAACAAAGCATCAGTGAAGTTTTTACTCCACTCATTTTATTTAGTTGAGTTCTCTACTGCAGGTTCTGGTGGGATTATATAGGAAGAACTTTTTCTTCACACTTAAATTAGTTCTCCAAAAAGGTGCTTAGCAGAAAATGAGACTGGATTTTAGCCCCATGGAAATCTATGTAATTCCTAGTAATTTAAGGAATTCAACCTGAACAGACTGAGAAGCCAATTGTAAACTAACTATACTCTTTAGGACTTTCTGTAATCTCATGGAAAAGGTTTTTAGGAGAAGCAACAACACTAAGCAGAAGTGAAAAATGTGTTTTCTGAAAGAAAACCAGTAGTGATAACTGAAGAGTTAATTTTCTGTAAAATAGATCTGAAATCTCAGACAAACAGGCCTACAAAGACGTTCCAGAATCCAAATATACCTACTCTGTAGGCAGCACAGGCTGCAACAAGAAGGAAAGATGTCATTTGGAAATCACGAAGCAGATGCAGAAGTAGAGTGTGCAGATACAAGTAAGAGATCTGGAAATGGGAACAGCTCAGTATTAGTATCCCACAAGCAGAGCCTATATAGAAACATAGCAATCAAATTATGAAGGACAGGTTTACGTACAAAAATTACCAAATGCTTTGGCTTGGTTTCCAAACTGATCTTGTTATACCTGGGAATAGCATTTGACTGAGATAACAAGCAGCTAAACATGATAATGGGGATCACAGCAGATGGAGAGCTATTAATGTTGCCATAGAAACCATGCAGGAAAGGTGTGTAGGAGTAAAGCATGGAAAGGAAATGCTTCTAGGAGGAGGGGATAGTGACTGAAGAACTGAATTCACTCAGCAGCTGTTAAGGTTAGTCAAGACATTAATAAAAATCCCACAAAAACACTAGCTTTTCAGGACATTGAGAATCATGGAGGAAGGGAGTCCTAATGGTGGGCTGCAGAACAGATGGAGGCAGCAATGCCATATTTTGCTGTAAGTTAGGTCAGAAAAAGTCTTTAGAGAAAAGCTGGAGATGGTCATGAGATGGATGAAAAAGCTGTGAAGTCTCTCAACTACAACAGCACGTGTTCCCCTCACATCTGCTGGACACACACTGGACCCAAGCTGGTGGCACAGGGACATGCTTTCCTTCACTGCCTCTTCTCTCCCTACAGCAAGTCTGTATGTGCTCAGGTGGTGACCCAGCCCAGCTCATTCAGCAGCTGCTCACCTTCCCCATGCAGAGAACCTGGGGGTGGTCCCACAGTGTGCTACAGGACTGACTCCTTAGTGATAAGCTCACATGTGGCTACATTTATTTAGGAAGGCCCTAAGCAGACAAATGTGTATTTTTAAATTTCCCACACAAAGGCCTTGAGCAGGGGGCTATCTTGAGGAAGTTTCTGTTTCACTCTCTGTTGTGGTGAATAATATGGTGGAAAAGATAGCCTTTAACTCAGGGAGCAGAGTCACCCATGAGCTGTTGGGGCAGCTCAAGGCAGAAGGTGAGCCCTCCCATGGTACAGAAGGCCCATATAGGGGAGATGGGCTCCAGCCATCACCCTTTGTGCTAGAACAGCTTGCACCCTGCCACAGTGAGCAATGAGGCAATACCCTGAGCTCTCTGACTGCTCATGAGATGGAGAGAAAAGGGCAGGGAGGTGTCCCTGTATGACTTAAGCAAGCAGAGGGTTGGCGTGTGTGGGAGACCCAGGATGCACATCAGCTGTCAACAGCAGCTCCAGCAGGCTGCCAGATTAAAACTTTGCATGCTGGACAGCCATGCAAAGGCAGGAAAAGGGATTGACCCAAAGTGCTTATTGGTACTGTGGCTAGAGAAATGTCTTGAACTCTGGTCATAACACAAGTATCTCCTCCTGCTGGTAACCTGCCTCTCTAGGACAAGCTTTAGTCTGTAAAGGGACTTGGAAGTCCCTTCCAGGTGTAAGTGCTTTAACCGTTCCCAGGTGGTAGGGCTGGGTGGTGGGCTGAACCACATGCTGTTGAGGTCTAAAAGGTAAAAAGCAATGTGAGTGTGTGATCATCATATCCAGGTGAGAGGGATTGGGCTTGGGCTTTGCTCTCCTGTGATGACTGCAGAGCAGTGTTGTGGCTGCATGATGAGGATGATAACTCTGGGCTGTGGCAATTATTCTTCTTTCCTCACAGAAGTATCAAAGAAAAATAGCCGTACACAGGCAGAAAGTCCAAAGAAGCTGCTCTGGAGGCAATACAAGGTCCTTCATTCCTGTTCTTCAATGAGCCCCCAGGGCATGATCCTTTCCTCAGAGGGTGCCTCAAAGTGGGGGAAACCATTGGGATTACACTCCTGGCTTCCAGCCAAACCAAGTCTTTGCTGCTGTTGCAGTTTACATTTCCACATCTGGATTGTGTTGGGGTGATGTAATACTGGAGCCCAGAGCATGACCCAATCTGAAGTCATGCCGAGAGCAACTGGAAATGGTGCCAAATGTGAGTGTGAAGGACATGAGTGGATTGCAGGCAGAGACAGAAACTTTGTAGGCAATGTGAGCTGCTGCCACCTGTGAGTCTGGCACTTTCAGCCGGACATGCATTGCAGCAGAATACGATGCATAGGGATTGATAGAGAAGAGCAAGGAAATTAGAAGAAGACTGACAGTCATTGAAGAGCCCAAATGAAAAAAGGTTTTGATTCATCAATATTACAGAAGAACCGATGAATAACCATTTAAAAAGAGAACCAGAGATCCCACATGTCAAACAGAGAAGTGTTTTATATGCATGTTAAGATACAGCAAAGTCACAGACCCAGTGACTCAGTGATAGCTGTAAACCTCCTAAATCAAGATATTCTTTCAAGTTATCTCTACAGTGTAAACTACTCTGGTGGGTGAAATAATTTGTGACACATTTACCTGACCTTACTGATCATTTTCACCTATGGTCAGGAGAACACAGCTGTGCACTCAGTATGTTGAAGGAGAAAAACTGTTCTTTTAACCAAATTTATTTTCTTGTTCTTGTGTCATGGCATCTACAGTTCTAGTAGGCAGGTATCTTTTATTCTTAGTAAGGATAGGAAGTTCTTTCATATTCGTTATGAAGAGCCCAGAAAATTTCAAATGTTTTCCAGACTATTAATAAACTCAAGTATGAGTTGCCTTGAGAAACAATCTAACACTAAGAACCATTGACTGTACAATTAACAAATGCAGATGTGAAGCGCTATTAGCAACATTACTTTCCTGGTCACTTTCACATTAGCCAGCAGCTCCCCCAATTCAGCAACGATTATGAAAAATCACACTTCTCCTGCAATAAAGGCAGGCTGCACCTCTGGTTTTCCTTTCCCGGGATTGATGTCATTCCTCCGCATGCCTGTAGAGGATGTAGTTCCCTAAGCAGACAGGAGCAGTAATTTATCTTCTGAGGACCAGCTGCCAGAGGAGGACATACATCTAAAACTGTTAAACTTGGTCTCAGTCAAAGACAATTATTAGGTCAAGAAAAAAAAAACCCTGTCCTACCAACAAGGGAGTGGTAGAAAACGTGTATCATCATTTCTATATGTATAATATATATACAATAAGCAAACAGGTGATGAAAAATGAGCTCAGTTTTAGAGCTTTACTCTTTGAACATGGAAAGACCTTGCTGCTCTGAAGAAATAGTACTGATCTGAAGAGACGCTAAGCCAGACTGTAAGCTTCAGAAGAAATCAGCAAGAATGGTACATGGTTTTGATCAGATTCTGAACAATTTCCTAAAATTAAGAGAATGATAAATGATGGCAAATTTGCTTTAACATGAGTTGTATGAAACATGATCCAGTTCAGCCATAATCAGTCCTACAAATATTTGATTTGATGAATGTCGATAAATATATGCTATCCTATCCATGCTTTCCTCATCCAGATCTGCAGCTCCTCCTCATTTCTTCCTCCAGATCTAGAAATCACAGCGAGTGGAAAGGCTCAGGCAGGCAGGGCACCGCTGTGGGACCTCAGTCCCCACCCACGGCTGTGCTTGCAAGGGCCAGTGTGGGATTTTGTTCATTTTGAGCCACTGAATTATAAATGGGGAAGGAGACCGAGAGCGGTGAACCTGGACACAAGTTATAAATAGTAGCAACCGTAAACTAAAGATAAGAGGCAGCTTGAACTGTAAATCCTTAGCAAATGTAGTTAAGCTGTCAGCCTTTCTATGCTATCAAGCATTTTGCCAATGCCATCTTACGACAGCCTCTGGTACTGCAAGTGCAACACCTTTCCTAAAGAGTCGAAAGCAAACGCATGGAGGAAGAAAATGTGAATTTACCGCCCTTTGCCCAGGGACCAGAGGCTGAGGGGGTGCAGAAAGATGCACTAAGGATCGCTGGCCTGCCTTACGTATAGGAGAAGTTATAAGTGGAGGAACATCCTACCGACTGCCTGTGAGGATTACAGAAGGTCTAGCATGGATAAAGATACGTCTCTGCTGGGAGCGGTTGTCCTCAAGTAGGGGGAAAATAAAACACACAAGTGGAATTCTTGCATAAGTTCCTTTCACTTCAATTTTTTTCCTAGGCAAATCTCAGTGGAAAATGGTGTTGGCATGCATTAGGACATCATGCAATTACATTATATTGTCAATTAAAATTGTCATTGGCAGAGGAGGAACTAATGTGTTTGGAGGGAAAGAGAAGTGCAGCTCTCGCCAAAATTTTCTTTGCTAGACAACATGAATCTGCTGATCTGTTTGCCTGTGGTTCCACAGGAAAAAAATACAGCTGAAAAAGCCCCCCTTTTTCCCCTGCAGTGACAAGCACGCTTCTAAAAAGGCAGAAGTGGGGTATTTTATGCCTATCGAGTAGTAATATATTATATCTCTGTAAGAGAGATAATAGATGTAGGTGCAACAGGCAGTCTTTGCCTGGGGTCTGTTAGCTGAGATTACATCTGCGTCTGCTTGGCAAGGAGGGATGGGTAGCTGGTAATTTAGAGCCAGATTAAAGTTTATAAAGACATGATGCTCATAATGTTCCATCCTCATTTGATAGCAAAAGGTAAGATGTTTTGAATGTTACTGGGAAAGTGGGAATGTGCTGGTAGAAGATGGGAAGGCCAGCGCAGCTGTCATTGGGTAAGAAGCTGCTGCCAGTAAGTAAATAAACTATTTGTCTGAAATATGTTCTCTATGTTTTTGCTTCTATCTACATTCTCACATTGGGAATTTTTAGATCTTTTGTGTAACGATTGTTCACAACACTATAGGTGTATAGTAAGAGCTGGAGAGGGGAGGAGGGAGTTCAGATGAGACGTGGAGCAGAACAGCAACCTTGCTAACCATAGTCTGATTCTGCCCTCCTCTTCTTTGTGTGCCTATTGATTAAAGCCAGAACAAGATCCTTTGCCCCTGATTTTAAGAAATAGCAGTCACGGCGCAGTTTTAGTTGTCTAAAAGCCTGGCCTGAAAGATTACACACAACAAAACCAGTCTCTCCCTGTTGGCTCTGCCATCATACTGTGAAGGAAAAAAAAAACCTGTGTAGCTGTTGCCCATATGCAGTAACATGAAGAAAAATAGGAGGAAAAATGTTATTTCCTCTCAGGACCTTGATGTGCTGCAGCTTTGCTTGGTCTCTGTGACAACAATCAGCAAGGTCCCAGCAACAGGCTCTCATATCCTGGACTGTAACAACACAGCTTGGATCTCTCAGTCTTCTTATGCCTCACGTTTTTGAGGGGCAATGAGTGTAGCCATGACTTTAAAATTACTGTAAAGGTTTGCTGTGCTCCTAAGTAAAGCGCCGGAGCTCGGCCTAGCGCGCGCACCCTTGCCCGCACTAAAGATGGCGGCGGTGCTGACCCGGAAGGGGCGGTGGGGCCGGGTCGCGGGGTGAGGGAGCTAGAGGGCGGGTTTCTCTAGCCTGCCGCCGCTGTGCCGGGAGCCTAGCCCAGCCCAGCCCAGCTCAGCCGAAAGGGGCGCGGGGGTGCTGGCAGCCGCCGCCATCGCAGCCCGCATGGGGCGGGCGCGGCCGGGTCGCGGCGCTGCCTGAGCGGGGCCGGCGGGCTGCTCTGTCGGGCTCGTTCCCTGCCCGGCTAGGCGGCCCGCCCGAGACCGGGGGCGCCCCTGAGAGGGCGGGGAGCCGCGGCGCCATGCAGTGCGCGGACCCCGCGGCGGCCATGAAGGGGTCGGAGGGCGAGGGCAAGCCGGAGCAGCCGCCGCCGCCACCGGCGGGGCAGAGCGGCGGCGGCAAGAGCGGAGGCGGCCGCGGCGCCAAGGGCTGGCAGTACAGGTGGGCGCGGCGGGCCGGGCCGGGCCGGGGCCTGCGGGTGGCTGGTGAGGTGCGGGCGGTGGGCCAGGAGCCGTCCGTGCTGCTGAGCATGGCGTGGGGCGCTGGTAGCGCCGCGTCCCACTCACAGGGCAGCCCACGCCCTGCGCGCCCTGAGCGTGGTTGTCATTGCGGCTGCCCCGGCTGTGGCCGCCCTCGGCACTGCTGGGGGGCACGCAGGGACCCTTTCTCCTCTGGCTCTGGTCTGAGCCCGGCCGCCGCACTCTTATTTCAGTATCCTCTTGGCGCGGCGCCGGCACGCGGGCCGGCTGTCACTCGGCTCCGCTTTCCGTGCGCTGTGTATCAGCACAAAGCCCTGCGTCTGGGCTGCAGGTACTGCCCGGAATGTGCCTTTGCTCCTTCGTTTTTGAGCTCCGTTTTTTTCTCTCAGAGCGTGGACACCAGCTTAAAGTTGCAGAAGGCTCTCTGTCGCTTTCCAGCCTTGCCAAAAAGCTAAACTTTGTGCCAAGTTTTAGGTCGGTGTGTCTTCTGTAAGAACCTGATGGCAGGGTTGCTTTTTTTAATTGGTGTTTTCTGTTTGGTGCTGATAGCGAAACTGAGTCTACACGGAGTTTCTGTTTTAACTGACTTTAAGAATGGCTGTGCTTACCGTAATTCAGGGTGATTACTCAGGTATGGCAAATAACAGCAGAAGAGAGCAAAGAAAATAGGAGAAGCTGAGCACACAGCATTAGTTCGAAATAGATTCAAACTAAAGTGCTTCCTTTGAATGGCCTGCCTGTACATTTGAGGGATTTAGAGGTTTTCGTGTACTTTTTTCTGATGTGCTTTCAGGTTGAAAGACACGCACTGATAGGAGGCCCTCTGAGGCGTCGCTTGAGAGGTTTCCGAATCTCTCTCTGCTTTGAGGTGTCTCATCCTTGACTGGAGATCTGCCATGTTGCTGTTGAAAATACTGCTGTGATTGGAAGTTTGCACACTTCTCCTTCAAATGGAGTCTCTTCAGAGCTGTCATCTGCTAGCCCAGATGGACTGGCTTGCTGTTTCTTGCTTGTGGAGACAGCAAAACTGGAGTGTTTTACCTCTGTGTGTGTTGTGCAGGATGGAGGACCATCAGATGTCTTAGACAAACCAGCACCAGGCTGTGCAGGCTCTGACTGCCTGATGATTCTAATAGGGAGGAAGCAGCTCGGTCATCACTGGGAATCTGGGTCATGAATAATTTACTTCTCTGGTGACTAGTGCTGGAAAGAAAAGTGATGATTTCAAGGCCAATATTTCAGGCTTTTAAATAGGGAAAGCTTCTTGTCAGACCCAGTTACCAGTTATCTGCTGTTTCCAATTGCTTCTAAACTTTTTTAAAAAGAAAAAACAGCCCTATAGATTCAAAGATAACTCTGAGTTTTCTAATGAAAATTGCTGTTACTGTGACCAGGCACTTACTGTACATGTGTTTCACCTGTGAAACACTGGAGTCAGTTTATGCAATCAGAATTGAAATATTTTATATTTTTATGTGGAACTGCAGGTAGTGGAAGAGATGAGATACCCAATTTGTTTTGCCTGAACCCCTTTTGACTATAGTATGTTTGAAATGGTCAGTGCTGTGCAGTGAAATTCCACTTTTTAAAATTACCCATTCAAGTGTTTTGTCTCTAAGTGCTTGCTGTGTCTTGCAGGGCAGAAGTTGAGCCTGCTCATAAGAATTTGGTGGCTTCACAGCTGTAGGTGGAAACTGTACATGTTGTTGCTTGCACCTATTGATATCTGGTTTAATTTGCTCTAATACTCTAGTGCAGATTGTCCTTTTTTTTCTTTCTGGATCAGTGGGACAAGTTTAATGTACTAGTTGTATTATTATGGACAATTGAGGTACTTCACTGTTAATCTCTGCTCTGGAATCTATTATTTGCTCCTCATTTGTCTCTGTATCTAATTACCCACGAAATATCGCCTTTTCCCTCTGCCTTCATATGAAGTTCTCCTGGATGCTATACTGTAGCTTAGTTTTCACTTTGTGTATTACATCTATTCTAAAATGTGTTTGGCAAATAAAGACTTCTCTAATAATAAACTGTTGTCTAAAATATGGGTTTTAGAAACTGGTTTTCTGGGAGCTTCTGGTAGAAGTTTGATCTTTAACTTCTGTAGCACGGATTTTGAGAAGTGTGTGGTCACACAGCTTGTGAGAAGTGGAGTCCTGAAGTACTTGGTCATCTGGGGCTGAAGTATAGCTCTGTATTCAGTGAAGCATCTTGTCAAAACAGCCGTAGCATAGTTTTCAGACAAATGGGACAAGTCCTTTAATCGAGATAATCAAGTTTATCCAACATGATACTTTAATGCTCCAAATGGGGAATTATGACTACTGGGGGGAAAAAAAAAAAAATCTCCAGCGCTGTGGAACCTGAAAATAATGAAAACTGAATCTTTCAGAGAGGTGGAAACTAAACATTCCTGGGGCAAAGTGCATGTCTTGAAAGTAAAAAATTAAGGAGAAAGTCAAACTTTAAAAATCTCCCTATCATTCCCCTGCAAAAATATAAATAGCTGTGACAAAGTTGCACCAAACATTTATCATAGTGGAAAAGAAGAGAAAATTGGAGGCTGTCAGATGCCTCAGATGATCTAGAGACAGAGCTAAATCTCTTTGCATGTTTTCTACTTGTCGCCTGTGTATGGTGAGTTCAGGTAGTTCAGTAAAGCAGTGCCTCCTATGGAATTTGTAAGGGCACAGTTTCTTCAGAGGGCATGAAGATACTCTTTTTCTTAATAGGAGATAAGGCTTCTTGAGAAACTGCTCTTCTAGACATCCAGTAGGAATTGATCTTATTTATGAATACATGATCAGTGTCAGAGTGCATCTGAGACCGCTAACCCTTGGCTGCATTTTCCTGACTGGGGTCAGGAATAGTGTGACTGTTAACTTGCAATTAAGTAGATGAAGAGAGGCTGAGATGCTGCGCCACACACTAAACCCTTTATCCCTATTTTCATTTGGTGAAAGTTACCATGAGGTGAGACTTATTCATAACTTAAAATTATTAAAAGATTACTTGATAAAGTAACTTAAGATTATAACATATTTCTAAACAGGTTCTCTATTTTCAGCAGTAATCAAGCTAGGAAGTAAGTGTAGGGGTTGCCCAAATGAAGAATTATTTGCATTCAGCAAGTCTGGTTTTACTTGTGACCTTCGGTTGGTTTTTTATTTGCCCTAGCTTAAATTAACAGAGTAATTTCAAAGCAGTGAAAGAGGGGAGACAGTTTTGGCAGGTACTTCTGTGACACGAGAATTATAGCCAGTCTAAGAACATAAAAATTTCACAACCAGAAAGCCGAATCTCTGTCTATGAGCTGAATAGAGGGCTGGTCAGAATATGTGCCAGAGAAGTGTAACGAGTCCTTTCAGCTTGGCTTCAGAAGCTTTCAGATAATTTTGAGAGAAGTGACTTGCAATTACTGGTTTTCATTTATCTACAAAATCAAAATTTCAAAGCACTGTGAGTGACTAGAGAAACAAGATTGTCTTTCCCAATAGGAGACACGCTAATGTGCTGTTCTCTTACATTTTTCTTGGTGGTTCTGCTCTCAGATACATAAGTCAATTCAGCTGCTATTAAAAGGATTTCCAGCATTTATTCCCTTGGTGGTAGAAACACATGTAAAATGTGAATGAATTTCCCAGATGATTGCTGATTTTTAAGTTTGCAAGTTGTATTTCAAAACCTGTTTGCTTTTCAGTTCTGCGTATATTCATTATAGATAGCTGCCTTTGTTCCTTATTTCTGAAATGGTTTGGGCATCTGCTTACTATGGGTTTAGCCAATCTATTTATAAAATGCTACAGGCTTTTTGCATCTTCTTTTTTTAAAGAAACAAGTTAATTTTAGTTACCTGTGCCTATAAGTTTACTTAAGTGCTGCAGTTGTGAGTTTGTATAGAAAAACATTTGGATGAAAGTAGCTTCTAAATAAAGGAGCCAACTTTCTAGACTGATATTACTTTTTATGTTTTTTCTTTTGTTTTTCTGCTAGTGGTGACAGTGGCAGGTAAGAGGGTGCTTCTTGCAAGAGGGTGCACCATGCTGGGTGGCTTCTGCTTGTCATTAGGTTATCAAATTAAGGCAGATTCTCTTGCAGAATTACTCCATGTGGCTTTAGGCCAGAGTAGGAGAGGCTGAGAGTGAGCAAACAGAAGTGCAAACAAACAGCAGAAAAAGGGTTTTGGCAATTTTGTCAATTGCTTTGTATCAAATGCAAAAGGATAACAAATTTAAGGCAAGTAAAATGATTTTCAGTCTTCTTATAAGGCCTTTGTTTATTTTACAAATGGCACTGTGCAAGCCCTCTTTATAAATACTAAAAACCAGTAAACAATTACTGACCTTAATTCAGTCTTCTTTGTTCAGGCAGGTCAGTGTGTGGTACACATAGGAGAAGAACTGGTAGCTGAAACACAGGAATATATTTTAATTGTGCATTTTGAGATGATAGTGAACTCTTCTTCATCAAGTGATCCCATAGGAAATGTGTTTTAAAGGAAATGCTTATTTCTGAGTTTGATCCCAGTTAACTTGGGGGGTCACTGACAATCCTTTGCATGTTGAGCACATGGAAGCAAAATGCGTGAGACTGAGCTAGGCTGTGGAAGTGTTTATGATTTTTATTCATGCTATCTTGCAAAAATGATGTAATTAGTAGTAATAAAGTGTCTTGAAACTGATACCCTGAGTGGATGTTGATAAGAATGCTTTTTTTTTTAATTTTTATTTTTATTGAGGGTAGTATTGATGTCAGTCTTAGTTGCAAGAAAATGTATAAATTCCAAGAATGTTTGATCTTGGGAGGATAAATTTCATCTGTTTGGCCTTTTGAAGCTGAAACCAGCTTTGTAGGAATAGATACAGGAGGTAATGCCAGCACAGTGTTCAACAGTGCTTCAAGTTGCCAGCCGCTCCCTTGCTGGTCATGCGTTCTTGTCTCTGAACTCAGCATTTCTCA